GGAGTTCGAGCCCCGCGTCAGGCTCTGGGCTGATGGCTCGGAGCCTGGAGCCTGTTTCCGATTCTGTGTCTCCCACATTCATGCTCTGTCTCTCTCTGTCCCAAAAATAAAATAAAAAACGTTGAAAAAAAAAAAAAAAAAGGCTGTTTTGGGGCATCTGGGTGGCTCAGTTGGTTGTGCATCATGATCTCGTGGTTTGTGAGTTCAGCCCCGTATTGGACTCTGTGCTGACAGCTCAGAGCCTGGAGCCTGCTTCGGATTCTGTTGTCTCCCTCTCTCTCTGCCCCTCCCCCGCTTGTGCTCTCTCTCTGTCTCTCAAAAATGAGTAAATGTAAAAAAAAATGTTTTTTAAAAAAAGGCTGTATTGGGGCGCCTAGGTGGCGCAGTCGGTTAAGCGTCCGACTTCAGCCAGGTCACGATCTCACGGTCTGTGAGTTTGAGCCCCGCGTCAGGCTCTGGGCTGATGGCTCAGAGCCTGGAGCCTGTTTCCGATTCTGTGTCTCCCTCTCACTCTGCCCCTCCTCCGTTCATGCTCTGTCTCTCTCTGTCCCAAAAATAAATAAACGTTGAAAAAAAATTAAAAAAAAAAAAAAAAAAGGCTGTATTGAGTTTGGGGGACTTAGTGTAAACGTTTGCTGTATAAAAATAATTTGAAAAAATTATATCGGAAGATGTTTAAGCATATTCTAAGAAGTTTAGGGCTCCTGGGTGGCTCAGTCAGTTAAGCTTCCAACTTTTGATTTTGTCTCTGGTTATGATCTCCTAGTTAGTATGATCCAATTCCACGTCAGGCTCTGTGCTGACAGCATGGAGCCTCCTTGGAATTCTCACTGTCCCGCTCTCTGTCCCTCCCCCATTTGCATGCACGTGCTCGCTCTCAAAATAAATGTTTAAAAATAAATAAAAATAAAAACGAAGAGGTTTTTCATAGGAAAAAAATTCAGTTCTGTGGTGTATGCCTGTAATTACTGGGCCAAAATGGAAGAGAAATGGAAACCTAGAAAAGTAATGACCTTAAAAGCCACTTTTTCCCTGAGGGCATTTGCTGGTTTTAGAAACATTAAGTTTTGATGCCTTGAAGGTGTGGAGTGAACAGAAATTAAAGTCCAGAGTCTGCATATGAGAGTATACGGAGACTTCTGTGCCATAAGCTGAGACCCTCGAATGCTATGCTCAGGGTGAGAATAATCTTGAAGTGGACAACCCTTACTGGAAGCCTAAATTGTAATCTTGAATTTATTTTAAGTTGTACTGGACAGGTAGTATTCCCAGGTATCTGACAGAAACAAATGCAGACCTTTTCTTGAGGAATATATTTTTATCCTAGTTCTCAAATTATTTGTGCAAACTACTTTTCGAGTACAAGGCCCATCTAGATATACATGCTAACAAGATACCATGAGCAAGAAAGACAATAATGAAAACAAAATCATAGACTTCAGATATTGAAGCTATTGGTTGCAAATTATAAAGCCAATATTTATAAACAACTGTATTTACAGGGCTGTTACTACAGCCTGTTACTACAACTGGGTTGGCTGTAGAATCCATGCGTGCAGGCTACTGAAGGCAAATTTTAGAGGTGTTTGAAAAAGACAAAAATAAAAAATGAATAAAGAAATAACAGAAGAAACCCTTCTGCAATACTGATCTCAACTGAAAACTGAACATATATTATGTTCCAAGCCAACCTAACAGAAAGAGAACCGCATGAGGACATATTTATGGATTTTCAAGTCTCAGATATAAAGAACGCATACAGAAAAAGAAATCCATAATAGCAAATTTTAGATGAAAATTTAGATGGAAATTTGAAGATCAAATTGTTAAATATATAGGTTCAATTTAGGTTGTTTGTATATGAAGGTAACAGACATTCTTTAAATGTGCAAGGGCTTGGGAAATCTGCCCTCCCCATGCCTTTTTGTGTAACATTACTTAATGACAACATTAGAATAACAAGACAAATTTGAAACCTCAAGAAGGGAGACTACTGGGGTTGCAAAGGATGGGTAGTAATCAAAGAAACCATGTAAGTTTATATATTTATATTTATTAGTTTTAAAATTAATTTTTATTTTAGAGAAAGAGCATGCAAGTGGGGGAGAGGGGCAGAGAAAGAATCTTAAGCAGGCTCCATGCTCAGTGCAGAGTCTGACATTGCTCGGTGTCATGACCTGAGCTGAAATCAAGAGTCACTCAACTGACTTAGCCACCTAGGCCCTCCCATCCATCCATCTTTCTTCCTTCCATTCTTCTTTGTTTCTTTTGTCTCTTTTCTTTCTTTCTTTTGTCTCTTTTGGCGCTTTTCTTTTCTTTTTAATATCTTATTTTTAAGTAATCTCCACACCCAATGTAGGGTTCAAATCACACCCTGAGATCAAAAGTTGCGTGCTCTACTGACTGAGCCAGCCAGGTGCCCTGCTATTGTATGTTTTCTAATTTGATCCTGACAAGATTCAAAGGAAAGAGGCAGATCAGGTATTATTCTCATTTTATAGATCAGAAAATAGAAGTTTCAGGGCTACTAATATTTGACAAAGATCAAGTGGTTAGATAAATGGCAGAACCACAACTATGACCTGGTCTAGAATTACTCAGTGTTAGCTATGATGTTATCAGTATTATCTAGGATAACAGGAACAGTAATATCCTCATAAGAGGTTTTACAAAAAAAAAAAAAACCCCAAAAAACCTGATATAGGCAGCACTTCAATATACTTTCATCCATAGAAAACAAGTTAATTAACCCAACTTTTAATTCCTGATATAAACTTGATTTTTGTGTGAAGCATTATCCCTTTGATACATTGCTAGATTTACTTTAAATTTTTATGATTTTTGCATGTATATTCGTGAATGGTACTGTTCTGTGATTTTATTTATTTTTCATAATGTTCTTGTAAGGTTTTACTATCAGGGTTTTTCTGGGATCATAAGTTGAATTGGGAAATATTTACTTTTTTCCTGATCTTTGAAAGAGTTTGTATAAGGTCCGTATTATTTTTTCCTTTAATTTTTGCTGTAATTCTCTAGTGGAACTATCTGGATTTGGAATCTCTTAGTGTATGTGTGGAAATATATATATTTTTTAAAGATTTTATTTTTAAGTAATCTCTACATCCATTGTGGGGCTCAAACTCACGCCCCTGAGAGCAGATGTTGCATGCTGTACCAACTGAGCCAACCAGGTGCCCTCTGGAATTATTTTTAATTGTGGATTTCATTTTTTCAAATAATTACAGGACTTTTCAGATATTTTAAATGTAAGTTCATTCAGGTAACAGTTATTAATTAACTGAATTTATTGTTTGAATTTCATTTAACAAAGTTACAACATTTTGAGCTTTAAAATCTTAATGCTAGATATCACTTAAGACGTTTTTTAAACTTTGATAAAGTATACGTAACATTAAATTTACCATCTTAGCAACTTTTTAGCATACAGGTCAGTACTATTTAAGTATATTCACATTGTGTGCAACAAATCTCCAGAACTCTTTTCATCTTGCAGAATTGCAGCTATACTCACCAAGCAACAATTCCCTACCCTCCCTTTACCCCAGCCCCTGGCAACCACCCTTGTATTTTTTGTCTCTGAATTTGGCCACAGTAGATATTAAATAAGTGGCATCATACAGTGTCCTTTTGTGATTGGTTTATTTCATGTAGCATAACATCCACAAGGTTCATCTATGTTGTAGTGTGTCAGAATGTCCTTTTTATAAGGTTAATGTTCCATTATATGTATATACCACATTTTGTTTATCCATTCATCCATCAGTAGACCCTTAGGTTGCTTCTTCCTTTTTGATGTTGTGAATAATGGTGCTATGAACAAAGGTGTACGGTTATTGGGGTGCCTGGGTGGCTCATTCGGTTGAGTGACTAACTCAGCTCAGGTCATGATCTCACAGTCTGTGGGTTGGAGCCCCACGTCGGGCTCTGTGCTGACAGAGCCTGGAGCCTACTTCTGATTCTGTGTCTCCCTCTCTCTGACCCTTCCCTGCTTGCTCTCTGTCTCTGTCTCTCTCAAAAATAATAAGCATTAAAAAATAATAATGTGTACAGTTATCATTTCAATACTCTGAATTCTTCTGGGTGTATACCCTAGAGTTGCTGGATCATACAGTAATTCTATTTTTAATGTTTTGAGGAGCCACAATATTGTTTTCCATTTTATAGTTATAGCAACGGAAGACTTCAAATTTTATATGCTTTGGTATGTCAGTAACCTGTATTTCTCTAGTAATTTGCCTATTTCACCAAACTTGAAAATTTATTGACATAATGTTGTATCTTCAATATCTGTAGTGATATCATTTTTTTTTTTTTCATTTAAATTGGTCACTTAAGCCTTTTTCCTCCTCTTTTAAAAATCAGTGTTTCCTGGGGGCACCTGGGTGGCTCAGTTGGTTGAGCATCCAGCTCTTGATTTTGGCTCAAATCATGATCCCAGGGTCTTGGAATTGAGCCCTGCATCAGGTTGTGCACTGAGTGTGGAGCCTGCTTAAGATTTTCTTTCTCTCTCCATCCTCCTTTCCCTCTCTCCCCCCTTCCCCCACCTCTGCCTCACTCCTCCACGTGCTCTTTCTTTCTAAAATAAAAAAATATCAGTGTTTATCTTTTATGGTATTTTGTTCATTTGTTCTTGTCTTTATTATGTCATACTTTAAGTTTAGTACTTTGTTGTTGGTCTCACACTCTTCGGGTCTGATTTGTGTTTGCCCATGCTCGTCTGGGTTTGTGTGATTGCTCTCCCCTTCTTTCTACCCCTTTGAAAACAAGTTTTCACAGGTACCATTTTTTGGTTTGTATGTTTAAATGAGGAGAGTAAGTTGGGGAGAAAAAAGTTGAAGTGTTAGAAATGATAGCATCTTTTAGCACTAGGCTTCATCCATTATCAGCTGTACTAAAAATTCTCATATACTCTGATTGACAAGATTATCAAATGCAGCTTATAACCGTGTTACTCTTTTTTTTTACCCTCTCTTTGGCAGGACCCGTTGGGGCCCAGCCCCTACTCATGGTGCCCAGAAGACCTGGCTATGGCACCATGGGCAAACCCATTAAATTGCTGGCTAACTGTTTTCAAGTTGAAATCCCAAAGATTGATGTCTACCTCTATGAGGTAGATATTAAACCAGACAAGTGTCCTAGGAGAGTGAACAGGTAAGAATCGTGAAGTCATGGAGATTATTTTGCTGTTGATATTTGTTTGCTTTAGTAATTATGTTTATCTTTCACATTTAATAACAATAATAATGTTTAACAGTTTGACCAAGCACACATGGTAATTTGTTTTGAAATTGTACTTCAGGGGCGCCTGGGTGGCTCAGTCAGTTAAGCGTCCGACTTCGGCTCAGGTCATGATCTCGCGGTCCATGAATTTGAGCCCCACGTCGGGCTCTGTGCTGACAGCTCAGAGCCTGGGTCCTGTTTCAGATTCTGTGTCTCCCTCTCTGACCCTCCCCCATTCATGCTCTGTCTCTATTCAAGAATAAATAAACGTTAAAAAAAATAAATAAAAAAAAATGTACTTCAGAGCTGTGATGTTGGGAAAAATCAACAAATAGCCTTGAAATTTTCTCATTATAGCATAAGCTCACATGTTTTCTCTGTGATAATAGAGAAGGTCCAGCTCCTTTTTACATGCTCTTGAAATCAGACTAAGCATATCTTTTCCATTGCTGTTGGTTAACATATCTGTGCTTTCTTTTTTTCTCCATTTTACGTGCCCACCTTATTTATCCCTTTAAAATGATGGAATGGTAGCAGTAGTGGGTAGAAATAGTGGTTGTCATGTTTCATGCTTTCTGTTCTGGTCCTCAACTCCTGACTTTCCTTCCTTTTATGTAGGAACAAGTACATAATGATATAGAAACATTTATCAATATGCTTTTAGTAAGCTGCTTCTCTCAACCTCCCCCAGATGTATGTGTGTATGTATGTATGTATGTGTATATACGTATATGTATGGTTGTGGTTTAGGCAATAAGGGAAGACAAATGGAACTTATGACATGGTGTACACCATGAAGGAGCTTTTAAAAAACAAAATAGGCGCCTGGGTGGCTCATTTGGTTAAGTGTCTGACTCTTGGTTTTGGCTTAGGTCATGATCTCACAGTTTGAGAGTTCAAGCCCGTGTTGGGCTTCATGCTGGCAATGGAGGCTGCTTGGGATTCTCTGCCCCTCCCCCGCTTACTGTTTTTCTCCCTCCCTCTCTCTCTCTCTCTCTCTCTCAAAATAAATAAACTTTTTTTAAAAAGTTTGTTTTTTAAAACAAGACATACAGACAAAACACTTAGAAAACAGTGATACTCAACTTAGCATTTTGATTTATGCTATCAAATATCCCAGCCTTTTCTTACTCAATAAGTATTATTAAGAGTCTTCATTTAAGACATAGGTGGTTCTTGCTGTCAAGAAATTCATCATTTAGGGGCACCTGGTGGGGCTCAGTTGTTTGAGCGTCCAACTCTGGCTCAGATTATGATCTCCCAGTTCATGGTTTTGAGGCCCATGTCATACTCTGTGCTGACAGCTTGGAGCCTCCTTCAGTTGCTGTGTCTCCCTCTTTTTCTGCCCCTCCCCTGCTCTTGCTCTGTTTCTCTCTCAAAAATAATTAAACATTAAAAAAAAAAGAAATCCATCATTTAGCTAAGACACATAAGAAGTATGAAGTGAATGAGCACTAAGAGACTTTGCTATAACGTGTAAAAAAAACAAAAAAAAACAAAAAAAAAAACCCATCATATGAATGTAATAATGTGGAGTGCAGAGTTCTTTCTGAGGTCACTCGCCTACTGCAAAATTTATTTAATTCCCTGTGGCCTACAGAATGACATCTCAAATTTAGTATAATATACCCTTCTTTGTTTGGCTCTAATCTATATCCTTTACCATATTCTGCAGTCTTACCTGGAATGCCCTTTCTGCCCTTATCTATCTGGCAAACTTCTATTATGTTTCAAGACACACCTTTTGAACTCCGTAGTCAGAGGTAGTTCATTCTTCTGTGACCCTATAGTACTTGGTGTACAATGCTGTTATAGTATTTTTAGTGTATATTGGTTACTTGTTGCTTTCCTCTTCTCACAGTATAATTTCTTCATGAAAAGGAATACTCTTTTTCATTATCTTTGTAGTGCTGATATTAGCTTGATGATTGGCACATAATAAATAGTAGAGTGAATGAAAGCTTATAAAAGTAAAATGAGATGAACATGATGGTGAGGGGGCAGGAAAGAGAACTGGACATTATAAAAGGCTGTATTTACCCAGAGATTTTCAGTGTCCTACCCTTTTCTCTTAAGGTCCATAAGCTAGTCTTTGTCTTAGAGTCCTTCCTCTCTCATCTGTCTTTCTGCTAGCCATCTGCTGATGGGGACCCAACTATCTTCATGCCACACTCTCAAATTCCCTTTTTCTTGTTTCTCAAAACTGGGGTGTTAATCTGTAAATTTGAAGGATAATCCTGGCCCTTTTGATTGATGTCTAACATTTTATTTTATCTTATTTTTTTTTAATGTTTATTTTGAGAGAGAGAGAGAGTATGCACTCAGGATGGGCAGAGAGAGGGGGAGAGATAATCCCAAGTAGGCTCCATGCTGTTAGAGCAGAGCCTGACTTGGGGCTTGATCCCTGGGAGCATGAGATTATGACCTGAGCCAAGATCAAGAGTTGGACACTTAACCGACAGAGGGACCCAAGTGCCCCATATTTTGTTTTATTTTTTAATATTATTCTTTTTTTTTAAGTTATTTATTTATTTTGAGAGAGGGAGAGAGAGAGAATCCCAAGCAGGCTCTGTGTTCCACACTGAGCCCAATGCAAGGCTCAGTCTCACAAACCACATGATGATGACGTGAACCCAAGAGTCAGATGCTCAACCGACTGAGTGTTGGTAGATATTTCTCTAAGGCAGATTTTTTTTTTAAATGTTTATTTATTCTTAAGAGAGAGAGCAACAGAGCATAAGCAAGGGAAGGGCAGATCAAGAGGGAGACGCAGAATCTGAAGTAGATTCCAGGCTCTGAACTGTCAGCACAGAGCCTGACGCAGGACTTGAACCCACGAACTGTGAGATCGTGACCTGAGCCAAAGTCGGATGCCCAACCAACTGAACCTCCGAGGCGCCTCTAGGGCAGATATTTCTGAACTCAATTCCTTACTACTGTCTTTCCCCCTTGCCCTCCCCAAAAGAGCCACCCCTAATTTTAGCAGTATATAGTAAAGAATTGTTGTTGGTTATTGATTAAGTAGGAGAATCATATGATGAAAATGTTAGGAAAATAAAATTGCTTTAAAGACAAAATGGGTTATAATTTAGAAAATAATGGGAAATGGAGGCTTGGGGCTTAGAGGGATGTCAGCTGAGACTTTTTTTTAGTTTTTCAGAGTTCTGAGGGACTAGTGTAATATTAGGTTAAAAAAAATAACAAAATTATTTATTAGGTTTGTTCCTTCTCCTATATAACTTTTTATTTTTGGTAGGAATGAGGAAGTTATTTGTATATTATGTAAGTGTATATGAAATTGGGGTGCCTGGCTGACTCAGTCAGTAGAGCATTTCACTCTTGATCTTAGGGTTGTGAGTTCAAGCCCCGTGTTGGGCATGAAGCCTACTTAAAAAAAAAAAAAGAAAGAAGAGAAGTTAAATAGCATAGAATTTCACATGTGGATGCTCAACATATTGGTTAAGTTTGGGAGAAATGTATGTAATAATTTGGTGTGTGCATTCTGGTTTTAATTTACTTCCCTAATTATATTTTGTCTTACGGTTGTTTTGTCTTGTTATGTTGTTTGCCAGTAGGAGTAAAACATCTGTAATTTAGATGTTTCCAAATGGAAGTTTTTTATCCTGTATCTTTAATTTGAGTTTTCACAGGAGCTACAGGATTTCTTTGAGATTCTTAAAATGATATACATCAACTTTACTCTGTTTCTTTGTTAATAATGACTTGATTTTATGTCAGCATTTGTAGAACTTACTGCCTTTATTCCTTCAAAGGAGTAACTTTTATCCTCACTTTTTGCAATGTTGCTACATAACTAGTTAAAATTGTTGGTAGACTTCTGAAATTCATTCAGTTCCTACTCTTCAACGGCTAGAACTCGAGAAGTTAGAAGAAACTAGATACAACTAGACAATTCCTATTCCATATTAGCTAAACAGATATGGGCCAAAATGCCTCAGTATTTAAATCAGCGGATAGGAGGTTTTTCTTGTCCATATGCCACATGCTCAAATATTTGGCACCATGGTATTAATCATAATAGTAGAATGATGGATTGTAGCCAAACAAGTTTCCACTTTAGTCATAGGAGTTTTCTTGGACAAAAAATACCCAGGAAATGCTTGTGAGTCATTTTTTGTGAGTCAACTTCTCTACTTCAGATTTTCTGTCTATTGCTTGTTTTGTCCTTTCCTCACCCCTTTAGGCTATGTGTGTGTTGTTTTTTTTTGCCAACTTAATGATTTTGATTGAAAATGATCATTTGGTAAAAGAGTATGTTTGTTAAGCAGACTTTAAATGTTTCCAGTTTTTTTTAAGTGCATGGTCTCAATAACTAAAAATCAAATATTTTTAGAAATACTGACCTAGAGTATAAATTCCTTAACTGGAGGTTTTATGCTAGTTTGTCCAACTGCTAAATATGTATTGGGATAAACCTCAAATAGATTGTTATGTACTTACTCAAAATCATTAAGTAGTGAAATATATACATGGGAAAAATTGTATAAAAGCATGATTATAACTGCAAGATCTGTTATTGTTAAACATGAAGTAAAGATTCGAAGGAATCTTGAGATGGTATTAGATTGTGGTTGAATTTTTTTGGTTCAGTTTTCTTTTATAAGTGAAACATTATCTTATACTCATTGTACTATTATCACTGTTACTCTTGTGTTGTAATTCGTGATACAGTGCCAAATATTTGTGCATGTTGCATATGGTTGTGGTGTAATACTGATGATTGAATTTTAGAAGAAAAAAAATAAATCTATATTGATTCCATTTTGGCTTTTAAATGGAAATCTCAGATCAGAGTCTTGGAAAGAACTCCCTTTCTGGTGTTATTAGGAATGTCATTGGCACAGTGTTGTAAATAAGTGATAAGCGAAGAGAGGGACATGCTTTTTTAAAATGATAACTTCATTTATACG